ATTAGAGTACATTTAGGTCAATTTTCAGGTTATTAATACGATTTCGTACAAATTTAATGATATTTATGAAAAGGCTCTCTGGAAAGTTGACGGAGTGAAGTTATGAGACATTCGTTTGAGAACCATATCAATAAAACCCTGACATTTTTCACTAATCAGTATGTTTGTTATTATGTTCTCTATTTCATTTAGTTGAAATGAGTGATATTTTTACTGTATCCGTTATCTCTTTGCCCAGACTAGTTATTAAACAGACAAATATGATTTAACAGAAGGGGTTTGTGGAGATTTTAGAAATTTTCACAGATTGAAATCATGATTCAGTTGTAGCTAGACCACCATTGAAAACCTGGAAGCACTGGACGGCCGTTTCGTCCTAGTATGGGACTCCTCAGCAGTGCGCACTGCCGTCCAGTGCTTCCAGGTTTTCTATGGTGGTCTAGCTACAACTGACTCATGATTTCAATCTGTAGAAATATGATTTAATCCAGTATATAAAGAAATTGGATTCGTAGATATTTTGTTCATAAGATAGTTTACAAAACCCTTGAATTAATAAGTTTAGTTTTTTGTTAGGTATGGTACAAAATAAAAAAATCGTATCTGAAGACAGATGAGTGGATCACGTGAGGAAGCCGTAAATATGGCAACTTATAAGTGTGAAATTAAGTTAACAGAAACTTTTTAGAATATCTGAAGTTTTAAGCGTAAAATTCAGCTTTGCATTATGTAAAGGGGATCTAGAAAATCAAACTCACAAGGGAATTATAGAATATGGAAAATAAAAATGCATTTGGATGTATGTAACATTCACTTCAAAATTATTTTACATAAGGAATTTTAAATAGTAAATCAAAACATCTTAATTGATTTCAAGAAAAGACAGGTTCCATTGAACTCCCTAACATGATGGTTTTTAAGAAATAATTCCTATCAAAAATCTAAAAGTATGTTCAGATTTATGTGAGAAATACGGATATGATCTTCCTTAATTTGGGATACTTACATTAACTCATAGCGTACTGTTGTCCCACAATACAACAACAATCGGGCGCCTAAAACCCTCTCTCAAACAACGTTGGATCAAAACTATCCAATTAACAAAGAATATTTTTCGTCCGATTGAGGAGCATCCGCCAGTATGGCTTAGGAAGGGCCATGGTGGACCAATTATAACTTCTATGCTGTGCCATGAAGTAGATCCAGAACATTCAGTTCCATCTTCTTCCATCGATATCATTTAGAGAATATTATCAGAATAACATAGCCTACACAGCGGAAACTTTAGCTGTAAATAATTTAAAACCACAGTTATCTCCACAATGATAGTTTGTTACACTATCGCCTTTCCAGCGACTCTGTTTATCGAATCCACTATAACATGTCCGGAAAATATTCATTTCTCCTTACTTGATTGTCATGTGGCATTTTTTTACTTAAAATTTTCGAATAACATATTCATAAAAATATCTTAGCTTTTAAGAAGACGAACAAGGGAGTACGTCAAAATTATACGGTAAAGCGAATTCTATTAAGTAATACTAGATCATAATGTGTCGTATATACATGAGAAATTGGTCTGATCTAACTCACTTCAGGAATATTAAATTTAAGGGAAATAATGTAACCGAAATCCTGAAAAACGACTTCCGAAATCTTTTAAGAAAGCATTTTACTTTGGTAAGCTATGTACTGCCTTCTACACCCAGCCTCTGATTCTTGAACATGTTGAGGATAAACTCCTGCTTTGGGTCACAATGTGAAATTCTTTGTTAAGGTTACATCAGCCGCACAAATTTAGCGTTTGTAAACGCATCTAAAAGCATAACTCTGAATGGCTTTCAAAGAAGAAAAACAATCGACTGCTCAATACAATGACACTTTTTAATCCTTGTTACACTGTACTATCAGAAATATCACCCAAAATCACCGATACATACATTTGTGCTCAAGGGGAACACAAACTGAAGAAGTGTGTACTAGATTGGTTTTAGCAAACCAAAGGCTTACTGTCGAACTCTACGTGTAATGGAAGCAAGTACAGTGTCTCAATCTACTAAGACCATACCACTTGATTTTTCACAATCGGAAGTTAGCTATTAATATAATCTAATGTCCCATACTTATCAATCGGCTATTATCACCTTCACATTCCCTATTACTCTTTAACCTTATATTTAAATAACGAAAACGCCCCATTGTGTCATTGAATAAGGAAGGAGATTCAACGAAGAAAATTTCTTTTTCGAGGATTTCATCTACTTAAGCTGTACAATCGCATTTATAGTTAGTTTTATTTGCCAAAATAGTGTTCTATAGCAGGATAGGGAGGTGCTTATTCTTTAAAAAGCTTGATGTTGTACGTTGTCGATATTTGAAAAACAGATATTGAGAGGAAGTTATGTACTAGTCGGCTAGTACAAAGTGATAAGGTGAAATAATTGTCCACCAGATAGCTATTAAGAATGGAATTCTTAAAAGTTGTGATAACTGCTAATTAATAGTTGTGAAAATAATTGGAAAGGAGTAGGAATAAAATAAATAGAAGTGATAGATTATGGAAGATAGAAAGGGAAGTTAGGGCCTTGGAAGAATGAGGGACTAAACATATTGTCTTTGTACACAAAGGTTAGGCTTAAACTGGTGGGCCGCAATAGACTCTGGTGTACGTGAGTTTTCTAACTGTACTCCTATTGATCCAACTCTTCTGACTGTATAAATGATTCTGAAGGAGGCTTCTGGTGAAGTGGAGTGGCCGGACTTGACTAGATGCTCAAAGATTAAGTTTTCGACTGACCTCTGTAACGCTTTGGAGAGCCAATCAGGGTAATGTTTGGAGATGGGTTTTGAAAGAGCTCGCTTTGTGTGACCACTACAACCTCCTCCGTATGAGCAAGTAAACTAATAGATTCACATCGATCTGGACCAAAGAGGGAGCTTATGTTTCACACAACTTCGAATCACAAGCCGCCTAGAGAAGATAATGCGAAGTTCAATCGAATAGCTCGTTTTTCTCTTAGATCTTGAAAGTTTGCTTTTCAAAATTACTGCTGTATTATTTTCTTTCAATTGAATGTCCATGAAGAAAGTCTTTTTTTGGTGCTGTGGATAATCTTTCGCGTCGTTGTTTTGGCTTCAGATTTGTTTCAGTGAATCTAGGTGGATATCCACTGTTGACCAGTATCTGCCTTAGTTCGCCAAGTCGAATATCGATTGTATCTTCAGCAAAAATACATCCAACCCTCGTACTGAGACAATGGATCAGGTCTCTATTTTGCTTAAGTGGGACCCAAATTTGAAAATTAGTGTACCAACCATTCCATATTGACTTCCTATATATCGATCTTTGTAGAGAACCGTCAGGTCTCTTTTTTACCAAAACATCTAAGAAGTGGAATCCTGAAATCCAGTCGGATTTCATTGTGAACTTAACTGATTGATGACAGTTATTGAAAGCGTTAAGGACGTCGTTAAAATTGATATTGATTTCACAAATAATGAAAGTGTGGTCTAAGTATCTCTTGTATAGATAGAAGCTGTCACTTATTGGCCTAAGTATAGTGTTTTCGAGATTAGCAATAAAATAGTCAGCTAGAAGTGAACCGAGCAGTAATGCCGTCGCTACGCCGTTAGTCGATATAGAAATTATTGTTGAATTGAAATTGGACGTTGGAAGTGCATCGGAGTAGTTTTTTGAAATAGTGTATCGGATTTTATTTATCTATTTATTTTTAACACATAGACATTGGTACAAGGAGGCACCAAATACATATGCGCCACACAGATTTCATTTGATATATGTGAGGGCTGTGATAATGCCCGGGTGCCCAAATCGAAGCAGGTGGTTTTCTAAGGGGGTCACACCCGGAGCCTTCGACCTGAAGGTCTGATCCACAAGGCAGTGGAGCATCGTAAGGAGATGCATTCCCATGGTAGCCGGTGACCAACGATTGGTTCATACGCCGTATGTTCCTTCAGAATCCTGGTGCCCATGTGCACAATTGGTTTGCAATCAGGGTTTTCCAACTCCCATAGGTGGACTCTCCATGTCCACCAAACCGGTTAAAGCGCCGGACATTCGCTTTTCGTCCTCGCAATTTCGTAAACAACACCCCCGCCACGAGAAGGCAGTGAGTAGGACTTCCCTAGCAGAGGCTATATACGCGTGGCTATGTGAGAGCATTTCGAGAGGGAGAGCGGACTCTCCCCACTCTCGGCCTTACCAGGGCATTTGGGGGGTGTATCGGAACACCAGCATCGAGTTTATTGCATTCAATGTAATCACATAGTAGATAGATTGTTTGTGTTAGAGGTATATTTGTAAAAATAGCTGCAATATCTAGTGACGTCATCAAAGTTACGTTACGTTGACACTGAATCAAGTTAATCAAACGAATCAGCAGAGAGGTATCTACTGAGTTGATTTCTGACTGGTAATATAATTTTAACTAGCCATTTGGCGATGAAATTTATTTATATTTGTAAAGTGGACACTTGGTTCTCCTACCTTCGATTGCTTATTATTGTTTGCCTTTAACCTTTAGATCGTATCACAACCAGCTTGTGACGCGTGAAGGTTTCGGACCCTAAACTAATCACTTTGTTTTTTAATAAATTTGTATATCTGTTGAATCGCTATAAATACGACTTTACAGCTTAAGTTAATGATTTTATGAAAACATTTTCTTTGCTAAATTGTCTTTATTTCCTTCTTAAATTATTTTAATCACCAGTACGTTTAATCCACAAAGTCTGAGAAAGATGTAAGTTAATAACCAGAATTTTGTTCTAAAAATTAAAAAAACGGTTTAAATTAGCTTGATAAATCAAGGCCTCACTCTGGAAACAGACAGACTTTTTTGGATGGATGATCATGAGTTCAGGATAACCGTTAGATGTTGATTAGCGTTGATTTTTTAGATCTAACATTCATCAAACAGATTCTTCACTTCCATGGCTGTTGTTTATTATAAATACGGCAATTAAGAAAGAAGGAAGTTTTAAACAAATGTATAGTATTTATCAAAAAATATCACTGTGAACATACAAAAAATTAGATCGTCCTTAATTGTGCTCATTGTTTATTATGCGTCCAAGATCGTTGCTGAAGCACTTCATTGGATACGACAAATAAAAGTTGAGTCTCTGGATACTCTCTAAGACGTCCTTCTAAATAGTTAACAAATTCATCATCCGTTGACGCAACTACAACCGGTTCGCATAATTTAGAATCTAAATTAAAATATGAATATTTATCATCATGCTCTAATTTTCGTAAACCAATCCAATGACTTCCTGAATATGGTAATGTTAAGTTAAAAATACGACGATTAGAAAATGTGTTCAATATATATCCAAAAATATTATCAAAATTTAGATTGTGCGCAGCAATTGTTTTGCGTTTATCACACCAAACAATATCATAACCACATTGTTGAAGAGCAATAACTAACACATTTGCGTCATAATTCCCCAGTCCAAATACATTTCTATGTGGATTAATAAATGAATTGCTATTAAGATTATCAGCTATTTTATCTAAGCAATGCTTCGAAAATATTTTATCCTGAAATACATTATTCAGCGCATGCAATGCACAAAACATTTTAGATTGACGTTCATGGTAAATTTTATTTGAATTGGTCACTGAATTCATTCAAGATGTCATTTACCAGGATAATAAGCACAATTCAAATAAAGTAGTGTATAATACGGAAAAATTCCAAAAGATTATCTGGAAAATAAAACAAAAAAGAAAGTCCAACCTATGTAAAATTTGAATAGGTTACAAGACTGGATTAATCTGGAAATCTTAAATAAATATGACTCAGATAATCTGAACCGATCAGAAAACAGTAATACCAAAACTAAATAATTATCAACAATGATGACACTAAGCTATATAATCTTCCATTCGACTAACAACCTGATACTCTTGCTTTCGTCCTTAAAGTACTTTATATTTTTGCTGTATTATGGAGTTAAAGGCGTATAAACCAACTACAACAACTAAGTGACACTTAACGGTTTCTCATATACATAAATGTAAGTTAATAATATTACCGAGGAGTTTGTCTAGCCTTTGATGAACAATAAGGTACCGGAAATGCCAAACAATTTATTTCCCAACAACTTAATTCAACATACAAAGTCCACATAAAATCGTTGACAAGCCTAATAAGTCGGCTATTTTTTTCGAGTTGCAAAATAACATCAGTTACAAGATTGTGAAACATTACCGTACATTAATATGTTTTTAGAATCAAGGATTACACCCAATTTGTGTCCCTGTACACATTAAAAATAGTGCACTTTGTCAGAATAAACACTAAATACAATTATTTGATTTAAACTTTATCAAACTTTTGATCCCGAAGAATTGACAGTCAATCAGCTACAACGTAGAACCAGGCACATATATGCATAGGTCCAAGTTGCCATACTTCATTAACACAACAAGATGAACACCGGATTCATAGAAGCAGTTAATTCAATGGTAGTAATATATATAAAAGAAAGATCGCATATAAGGATATAATACAGGAAGAAAGAATTAGCTCGTAGAAAGAAAGATATGGAGTGATTTTAATCTCATAGTTTAAGGGAAGACAGAGAATGTATACACCTACGCCGTTGTGGTCGATTTTGAGCCATGTCACCAAGAGTCTCCAACCATTGGTCACGATAGTCACAAGAACCACAACCAAGTAGTCCACATCTACCAACATGGCTCAGACTAGAAGTTAGTGACTTCAAGCACTGATGCCACGTTTTGGTTTGGCCGCCCTTCCAACCATCTGCAATACCGGTTAGCATTGCACGTCGTGGTGCTCGATGTTCAGCCATACGTAACACGTGGCCCAACCATCTCTGTCGATGAAGAATCACAACCTCATCAACTGATTTACCCTCACTCCCTAATACCCTGCGTCTAACCTCACTATTACTAACCTGATGATCACAGCAGATGTGGGAAATATTTCTAAGACACCTGTGGTCAAATACTGGTAGCTTACGAGCATCTTCTGCTCTTAATGGCCACGTTTCGCAGCCGCAGAACAGAACGAAATGCCGCGCAGTACACTCGTCTCTTAATTGATAGACAGATATCTCTCCGTCACCATAGGTGACGTAAGTCGGCAAAAGCCAAACAAGATTTTCGAGTCAGTGCTGAGATTTCGTCAGACACTAACCCATTAGGACTGATCAGACTTCCAAGATAAGTTGTCAACGCGTTTGACTACTTCACCCTCTATCCCTATTTCAGGTGTTGACGAAGGCCAGCCCGGCCGTCATAGCTACTTTAACGTGGTGGTCAGGCTTGCCTACCCTGGTAAACCAATCGAGCTATACTGGCTGGAACAACCGTTCCTCAACGTCCTACCACGCCAGATAGATCGGTTGAAAAACAGTAAGACAAAAAGCAGCAAACTCAAGGTCCGAGGGCGAAGTCGTACTGATGACTGTACAGAGGTGTGACAGCAGTAAGGTGTTTCCTTCAGACAACCAGCATGACAGCGATGCTGCCTTCCCACAAGGAGGGGTGTGGTTAGAAAAGGTCGACCCTAAAAATCCACACCTCACTTTATCCCACGGATATCCGTCTCCGGCGGTAAGGTCTCAACAAGTACAGAGCCAACACGAAAATTACTCACAGTAAGGTCGTGTGTGATCGACCTCAAGTACTTGTCCCTTGGGCACTGCGGTCATGCTCTCAGGTCACTAAGACCACCTTTAATCCAATTTCCTTTCCAGGTACCTTCAGAAGAACCAGGAAGTGATAACCGCCATCATACCTCTAACAGCACTCAAGACGGAATTGATAATAACAATAATTACAAAACAGATGAACATTCATCGTAAAATTTACGAAGTAAACCGCTTTATCAACGTTGCCGACCTGAAACTAACTCGTAAGCCAATTTTCCATGAACACTAATTTAACTCAATATTCGGTTATTATTTTGCAGTTAAGCATAAGTATCTGATTTTTATAAAATAAATAAAGACGAACATTTCCTTCGCTTCTTAATAACGGATTTACCATGCACAGATTCATGTACTTGACTTTGATCCGCACTTCAAGCGTGAGGGTTAGTGATACTATCTGTCTGGTCAAACCAAAAGTGTAGTAGGGTTTAAACCTTCAATTTAGCATCTTAAAGTTGAACATCCTGGCTACTAATCTACTCTTTACACGAAGACTGATATAAAAATGAAGCACCTGCATTAAGTATTCATCGGCATGAACTAAGCACTGAATGAATGGGAAACTGATGACTGAAGACTATTTCGATCTAACTACTCTGTAGCTGTGTCATAAAGCGATCTTCACTGCCGCTTATGTAGTGGAAAGATTAAAAATCAGTAAGGAACCAGATAAAATGATGACTAAAATACTCTAATGCTATAGCCTTAACAGCAATCCCGTACCATCGTTTTCTGAAAGTGACGAACCCCGATAATAGCTGCTACCTTGACGTAGTGATCTGGTTTGAATATCGCGATGACCTAGTTAAGCTAAATTAGCTGGAACACTATCTTTTCCAAAATCTATCATTTCAAGCATGTTGTTCAAAGAGTGGTTGATCTAAAAGCGGTAAACTAAAGGTCCGAGAGTAGTTTTACTGGCGGTACAGGGGTTAAATCGAGTTAAGGCATTTCTTTACAGAGGTCCTGCTTCCTGTCGATAGAATGAGGGCTTTAGAAAAGATCGGCCCTAGGAATAAAAAAATCCCGCCCGTAGGTTTTCTCTGCTGCTGGTAGAGTTTAAAAACTTGGGGCCAACAGATCTACAACTGGTTACAAAAAAGCAGTCCGTGACCGATATACAGCAGTTGTTTTCTGAACTCTCAAGCCACAGCCATGCACCAGGACGACTGCTAATTCGAGTTCCTTCTCACACTCATCAATGAGAGGTGTTCCTTAAAAGTGCAGGCAACCGAGAGAGTAACATCTCTTAAGGTTACAAAAGTACTCAAGGTAACGTAACGAATTAGACTTTGCTACGAGTTCTTCCAAGTTTCTAACTTCCGTTCAGAAAAAAACTTTGGTGAAATTTTCATTTGGGCTGTTCTCAGAATCCAGAAAACCAGAGGTTATCTTGTCCCATGAATTTCTTCATCAGACCAGTTAAACAAAAAGATTCTGGCCGACTTCTCCATGCACGTTGGTCAAAAAGTGCATTTTTGGTAATCCCAACAAGTCATTGAATTCTAAAGCGAAAAAAAAATTACAAGTAATAAAAAAATAGTTTTTTTTAAGTCTAAAACACTCGGGTGTTGTGTATAAGTTGACGCTGAATACATCCATGAGTAAAATTAGGTTCTGTCAAATAAAGCCACTTGGCCGAAAGGTTTCACGGCTTAAAGCAGTTTTAATATGAAATTATGAGTAGTTTTGAGAGACATGTTAATTTATTGCACTGGTGCTTATCAGTGACGTGGTGCATACATGAAATAAAATTTGGTATTTAAAAATGCTTAATTAGAAAAACTGTAGAATAGAGCACGTGAAAAATGGCGCTCTTAAAACGTTTGATGTCCCAACCAGCTCACACCGATTTGGGTAACAAAATAAATTAAAGATACTTTTGACTTATTGGACATTCATAAAACTATCATCAGACAACCATTAACGAGTGGCCAAAACCGGAGTGAATTTACCATGGCTCATCGCAAAATGAAAGGAAGACTTAGTAAGAATTGTTAGTGTCATATTATTGTATATTAAGAAAGCTCCAGAATGCCGAAAACATACGGTTAACTAAACAACTATATTTCCACAAATAATACACCTAGTTCTAAATAATATTTGTAATGATCATACATATATATTTATCATAAGCGCTTTTGAAATATAAATATCTAATTCGGCCGATAAGTAATAGGACTTTCGTCGCATTGTTCGCCATTTTTGTTTCCCAAAAAATGAAGAATAATCGAGATCATCTTTTTACAAGCAAAAATATCTAATCCCCATGTAAAATTAATCCGTTTCCATAGAAGTTGAGATCTCACCCAATCTCCCCATTTTGGAGAAAATTTGACCAATTCTGGGAAAGCCGCCATAGTAAACTTTAGGGAAGTGGCACGAAAACCCAAAATTTCCCCTTAACCTTAGTCAGGGTCATTTGACTTGGGGGGTTTCCTTAGAATTCCTCTAAGTTTCCCGAAATTTCCAAAAAATGGTGAAGGTCATTTGACTTCGGGAGTTTCCCCAAAATAGCTTAAACTTGGGGGCCCGGGCAAGATCAAAGGTGAAGTTGTTTTTTTACATAGCTCGAGAGCATGCCTCCATGAAGTATTCAGGAGATATAGAGTAACTTTGATATAGACAGAGCAACATATACAGTATACTCACATGTATTAGTAGAGAAAACCTGTGTTACTAATCCGGAAAAGTTTGGAATGTACGGACATAAGCATTGAAGGTAACTAAGAGAAAGCCAAAAAATGTCATGAAAATTAGTTTCTCAGAGTGAAAAAACCAAATATGTAACACTACAGTTAATTCTTTACATTTCGAAACGTCGCAGTCGCTGTAACCTTGAGAACGTGAGTATTATAAACAAGCAAATATGGTCCTAAAACTTTGCTCCGATGGTTTTGTTAATAGGTGATTTAGAGTTATATCGCAATAATCACAGTAGTGTCCGTCGCTTCTGCGAATCGCAACTTTTGATTTTATTGTTGCTGGATCCTTAGAAAAAGGAAGGATCATTGGAATATGTTCATCTCTACTGGCTTAGAACAATACAGACCCAGTTATTGTAAGATTAGGAATGCCTGTAAAGCGTTAATAAGCAAGACTAGACTATCATACGAAAAACAATTGGTTAGGGATTCTAGATATAGTCCGAAACGGTTATTCTCGTATATAAAAAGGCGAACTAAGAGAAGCGATGGAATTCCATCACTTTTGATACGAGAAATCCGTTAATCTTAGCAGAGAATGATGCCGAAAAAGCTGAAGCTTTATCGGAATATTTTAGTAAAGTGTTTTCTATCGGTAATGAGGAACGACCAATGATTCATCGCGACCGTGACGGCTCGCTGATGGATCCTGTAGTCATTGAGAAAGATACTGTTTTAAGGCTACTTCAGCATCTCAAACCTGATAAGTCCAGTGGTCCTGATGATATTCATCCTAGGATTATGAAAGCCATATCAGATGAAATTGCTGAACCATTAGCGATACTATTCGACATGTCTCTGAGACAGTCCAGACTTCCTAGAGACTGGAAAGACGCCATAATAAGTCCGGTGTATAAGGCTGGGAGTAGGGATTTAGTTAGTAACTATAGACCCGTTAGCTTAACTAGTGCAGTTGTAAAACTGATGGAGAAAATCATTCGGATAGCTGTTATAAACTATGTTGAAGGGCAAAATCTTTTCTCCAGGGCACAACATGGT